TAAATGGTAGCACTAAACATGTGAGGGTAAAGGTAATATTCTAATAGAATTCTAATATATTAATAGTCTATTAGTAATATAACATATCACATGATTACTATTTTAATTTTGTTGTTGTTGTTGTTTTAAACCTAAAACACTATTGCAAGTGTAATGCAACATGGACGCCTTCTTTTCAACACTCAGCTGCCTTAAAGACCTTTAAAAACTGGTCTGTTTTCACATTCAGTTTCCAAACACCACAGGCTGCATTTAAACAGAGCCAAACTTAACTAGTGTCATCACACCTTCAGTTTTGTCTCAAAAACAGAGTCCAACAAGACAGCAGGTGTCAGCACAAAAGGGACGTCCCTCATGATTTAGCTCATCTGAGAAAACTTCTCCTCTCAACACATCTAACACCCACCCCAAACATTCCCAATTAGCACTTTACTCCCTCCGCTTCTGGACTGGGACATTTTTATACCATTAAAATTTAACTGCTTCCTTCCTATGTACCAGTAGATGGAATCCACTGTCTCCTCAACTGTCTGTCCCTTCTGAAAAAAAAAAAAAATCCAGTTCACAGTGATTGTGACTTGAAAAACTAATGTTAGCTGCTCTACAATGACGTATAAAAGGACATTTCAGGTTCTTTCCTCAGGCAGCTTGATTGAGTACATAAGGGTTTAAGTTCCTGCAAATACTATAGTGATGTTCGAACCTCAAACAAAAAGAGAAACTTTTCATACAACTTGAAGCTAATTCTTTCCTCTTCAGGTTGATGGTTACTGTACAAACATCACATATTGACAAAAAGGGAGCCACTGTGATGAGTCATCAGCTAAATGACAGCTTATTTGTGATGGAGTAAAAACTACCACTTTAGACAAAAAGATGTCAACAGATTTGCCGTTTTGTGACGTCTGTGATACTTCACAAGTGGCAAAAAGTGCATAGATTAATACAAGAAAGTAAAAATTACAATTACTTTTAGTCTAAAATACAGTTTTTATCGAAACAACCATGGCTCCATTGCAAGGATGTGGACTCCTGCTCAAATGTTTCCAGTGCAGTTCGTAGAAGTCACCAACAGAGGTCGACAGAGCTTTACCAACACCAGGCAAAAAATAAGAATTAATGAAAGTTTTTTAAATTATTATTACTATTATTATTATTTAAAATTTGTGAGAATATTTCCAGGTGAAGATGCAAAGATGTGACATTTAATAAGTAACCGAAGATCAAGATCAAGCTGCACATTATTAGGAATTGGGATTTCAAAACAAGTTTTCTAACGATATCTGAATGCAGCCATAACACCTGTTGATGTCATTTCTCCCCTCAGCCATTCTTAGATCGTTGATGAAACTCTTCAGTGTCCATGGCATCTGTCTGGACCGTCCAGGGGAAACAAGCTGCTCATTTCACCAGCTCTAATAACCAGTGAACGGTCAATAGCAGTTCAACTTTATATATATATATATACCATGTATTCTTTGTTCAAGGTTTGATGTCTGCTAAATTACTGTATTATATTATATTATATTATATTAGTAGTGTTGATTTCAGTTCAGGTAATTAATTACTTTTACAAACCTTTCTAAGTTTCATAAATTCTCTCCAGCCCAATAGATGGCAGTGATGCACATCAGTTCCACTTCCAATCATTGCGTCAGAGGAGAAGGTTTGGTGAACCTCAACTGAAGACCAGACAACATTGCTTGCATATGTTGCATATATTGTCTATGCATCTGTATTCGTATCTGCTGCTACTGTTAGAAATGTAATTACTTGCGGATAATTAATTACATAGCCTTTAAATAATTGCTAATAATTGCTAATTGCTATTACTTTTCTAATCATGTCCAAACACCATTTATATTATTAATATTTTTTTATATATTATCTTTGACCTTTTTTTATGTTATGCATCGTCTATAAATAACAGTGAATGTTTTTTTGTTTGTTTTAACATCAGACTTAGATAACCCTACAAACTTTTAGCTCGAGTTAAATTTTCCCCTCAGTTTAGGTATTGCTGAAAAAAAGCTGCCCTAACAAGTCTGCGATGTAACACATCGCCTTCTATATTTAAACAGCTGATTTGCACTGCATAGAAGACCAGTTTCACTGCGAGTCTCACATCCATATTAGGCACAAAAAGTCTGGCACGTCGTCTGCAGCAGCTTGAGTGCACTGTCGACAAAACGCAGACGGCAAGACAACAAACTGAGCTGCGAATTCTACAATGTCACATTATATCACAGCTTTTTCACATGTGGAATTAAGAAGGGGCGTGTGCATGTGTGTGTGTCTGGGGTGGGGGGTTATGACGAGAGTAATGAGTCTCACAATTATGAATTATAACTAATTTGCACAGCAGTGTCTCACATAACAGCCATTGTGTGGCTTATTATGATGCTGGGTCATCCTCATGTGATATAATGAGGAAGTGGGACAAATGCTGATTGCGATAACCACACGGGCAGCCTGAGTTTTTTAAAAGAAAAACATAGAACATATGTGTGATGCTTAAAAACACAGTTCCTGGATCTGTTTACAGCAAAAGAACAGCACAGCTCGGTTTGTCTTAGTTTTGGGAAGCACATCTAACAGTGTAATGGCATTTCACTAATGGAGAAATTAGTTTAGAAAATACAGATGTTAGATAAAGGGTAAGACTGTCGGAGATGAAAAAAAAAGGGGATGGCTACAAATCGGCAACGCCAAGTTTAGAGTCCAAGAAAAAAAATAAAAAAAATAAATGGAGGCCTGAGGACAGAGCTCTGTGCGAAGACAGTGGTGTACTGTCCTCTGTATGTCTCACCCTAACAACGAGGCTAAGCACTTTTGCCCTCAAAAAAAAAAAAACAGCCAAAAAAAAAAAAAAAACAACCAAAAAAAAAAAAAAAAAACAACCAAAAAAAAAAAAAAAGCCAAAAAAAAAAAAAAAAACAACCAAAAAAAAAAAAAAAAACCACACAGTCATCCTGCTGTTAGATGTTGTATTGTCCCAGCAGTTGTCAAGACGCAAGCAGTGCGATGACGATCACATGTGATGGAAGTTGTTTTGACTCTCTGGGTGTCAGAAAAACAATACGACCCACAAAGAAGCCAGTTAATAACCCCGTTATGTTCATCACTGTTACAGAACAAGAACTCTACAGTGTTTCAGCTTCTAACGCTCGGGTTTGTAACTTTCATACAAAAACAAAAACACACGCAAAAAATAGCTTTTCTTGAAAGTTATTTTCCAGGACTTGTTATCCGGTCATACACTGTGTTACCGATCCTCATTAAAAACACGATCTTTGTTACAGATTCACCCAACATATTAATTTAGCCAGATTACTTCTATGTTTAGTCTTTTTTAATTTGATTGGGTGGTAGCAACATGTGGGGCGCACACCAATTATGGCTGTTAGCATATCTTCAGATCTTGTGATGATCAAAAAGATGCCTAAAGCAGACGCTTATGGTGCCTGTGTCTGCCAAGAAATATGCAACATATCCCAGGATGCTTTGCCACAGCTGGAGTGTCAACTCTGCAGAGTTCTACACCTCTATGTTTTTCAAATGTTTTTAGAAACTGCCTGTGAAAGTCTGGTCCTGAAAATATCAGGCGTGCAAACTGAGGTGAGTAAATTCCCTTAATTCTTTTAATATAAATGAAAAGCCTAGTTTGGTCACCGGACTTTGAAGCAATTTGTCTCTTTCTCTAACCCAAGTTTGGGTTTTTTAATTTTTATTTAAAACTAATATAAATGAAAAGCCTAGTTTGGTCATCGGACTTTGAAGCAGTTTGTCTCTTTCTCTAACCCAAGTTTGTCACAAGCATTGAGCAGTATTGTATACTCTGTACTGTTGTCACACAAAGTCTGAAGTATATTTTATTTAAAACTTTGCACCTACTGAACAACAGGTTGGAGGTTTGATTCCAGCTACACCAAGGGAGGGCTGCATAAGGTCGGTCATCCGACCCACTGAAAACAAACTAGACACATGTATCCTCAACTACAGGTGGTGCTAAGAGTAAATTTTAAAGACCATAAATTCTCTTTAAGTTTGTCAAAACTCCTTTCACAAGATCATGTAACATGTCAAAACAACAAAATGACCAAAACTTTCACTGAAAACTTTTCAGATCAATTCTCGCCTCAATGATATTAAGACTTCAATCTTCTCTCAGGTGTAGCACAGCTAAGCTATCCCTAAGCTAGATTATTTTTCTTGGGTTTTCAAAAACACCATTGCATTATTTTAGTTCCACTATTTCAAAAAAAAACCAGTCATTCGCAGTTGTTTGGAAA